ACATAGAAGTATAGAAGTAAAGATACTGTTGGATCTTCTTGACCAGATAGGAAGCGTTGAATCTCAAGGTGAGGTCTCTGGATATATGCACCCCCAGATATCAGTAGCAGGAGACCACCTCCACAGCTGCTGCTCCGATGTGTAGGGGAAGAAGAGGATCCCTATCCCTTCTGAAATCCACCACCATCTCCTTTGTCTTCTTCACACTGATGTCGAGATTATTGTCTCTGCACCCCTGCACCATTGTTCCACCTCCTCTCTGTATTTGGACTCATTGTTTGAGATGCGTCCCACTACTGCTCTGTCATCTGCAAACTTCACTATGTGACAGCTGGGGTGTCTAGCTGGGCAGCTATTTGTCAGCAGAGTGAACAGGAAGGGGCTCAACATGCAGCCCTGGGGTGAGCCAGTGCTGAGGGTGATGGAGGAGGAGATGATGTTGTGGATCCTGACAGTCTGAGGTCTGTTGGTCAGGAAGTCCAGAATCCAGTTCCCCAGTGTAGGACTCAGTTCAAGAAAGGAGAGCTTTTGCACCAGGGTCTGTGTGATGATGGTGTTGAAGGCCGAGGAGAAATCCAGAAAGAGCAGACTGATGTAAGAAGTGGACCTAATTTTTTTAGATTTTTCTACCTGGATTATTGAGCATGCATCAGGAGATGTAAAGGTAAAAGACTCCAGAGTTCTTCTCTCCAGGTGGGTGAGGGCTGTGTGGACCACTGATGAGATGGCGTCAGCAGTGGAGTTGTTCCTTCTGTAGGTGTACTGACGTGGGTCCACAGTGACGTCAATGGAGTCCTTGATGTGGGTCATGACCAGGCTCTTGAAGCACTTCATGACTATATTCAGGCTGGTCACTGTGGAGCACTTGGGTACAGGGACAATAATGGCGGACTTAAAGCAGGTGGGGACAAATACCATTGACAGTGAGGTGTTGAAGATGTCCACCAACACCTCAGACAGCTGGTGTGCTCAGTTTTTCAGTACTCGCCCTGGGATGTTGTCGAGGCCTGCAGCCTTACGGGGGTCGATTCCTTGGAGGGTCTTCCTCACATCTAGAAAGTTTTGTCTAAATTATTTTGTCCTGAAGGCTTCCCTCTCAGTTCACATGAAATTAAGATTTTTCTCACTCAGTTCCGTTACGTTCAAGAAAGAAACACACATACAAGTATTTACATGCAATACAGATGAATTTATTTCAGATTTATATCAAAATACCCTTGAAAAAAATTGCAATATATTTACAAAACGTACAAAAATATGAAAACTGTTTGACTGCTGCTCACTAACAGTGACTGCTACTTGGAACAAAGTAAACGTGAACTGTCTTCCTGTTAACGTCAGAATGCTTGGATCCTTTAGGGACACTATACAAATATATATATATATGTATATATGTACACATATAGATGGTGCTTTGGCCAGTTATCAAATGAAATAATACCAGAACAATTGAGCGTACTCTGCATCAACTGCAAAACAAAAAACGTAAAACTGCGGCTTGTGTAACAGAAAGACATCAGTCATGTACCTTAAACACTGGGTCAGGAGCATCAGGCCTATACGTGGCTACAGCAAATAAACATCTTTCACTTGAATCACTTCAGAAGCAAACTGCAGGAAGCTGGTCTCCACACAAACACAACACAAAATATAAAACAGTTACAGCAGGAAACAGTTTGTCCGTCCAGTGGTTTAATACTTCTGAGAGGAAATGAAATGTTTACAATCGATTCAAACATCTGCCACAGATGTGTTCTCCGCTAACAGAACGGTAAAAGTACGCTTGCTCCGGTCCGTGGCAGCAGCAGAAACCCAGACGAGCGTTTGCTTCCACTCAAACTTTCTTTTGGGAATGAAACATAAACTGGGCAACAAAGTTCCAAAGCAACATTGAAATACTCGTCGTTTCTTAAGTGCTCCTAAGAAATCAAAAGATAAATGATCCTCTGTGACAACAAGAACCGATACAAAAAGAAAATAAGTGCATTTCGGCAGGAAGTGGCACGTTTGTTTAATCCTCGGGAGCCTTTGCACCAAAAATGGGGTTTTAAATGAAATGTTCCATGAGCAGGGGTGAAATGAGGGGTGGGGGACATGGAGGGCGGGGGGGGGGGCTTCCTCACTCGCCCTCTTCCTTGATGCGCTGCTGTTTGTTGCGGCGAGAATCCAGGTCGAAGGAGAAGTCGGACCACTCGTCGCGCGGCGGGAAGGAGATGGTCTGGCGGAGGGTGAAGCGCACGGCGTCTATGACGCGCTCCCCTCGGGCCTCGGAGGAGCCCACGCTGACGGTGGAGGCTCCGCTGGTGGTGCGCACTATGTGTGGAGGAGGGGAAAAATCCATGACCTGTCGGTGCTCCATGATGCCCTTCCAGATGATGTGCTGGAACTCGACGGGGATCTTCAGCCTGGACAGGTCCTAATGGTCATTACACAGGGGGGTTAGTATTCGCAGGGGGAGCCACTCTTCTCTAACCCATCATATGACTCGTGTTGGATAGGCAAGGGCTCACCTCCATGTTAAAGTTCTCAATCTGGTACATGTTGGTTAGACCTTGAGCTGTGAAGTAATCCAGGCAGCCTGCGCAGCCCAGCCGAAGGAGGAAGCTGCAGGAGGAGGAGGAGGAGGAGGAGGAGGAGGAGGAGAAGGAGGAGGAGAGCAGTTAACACATCTGGAAGACCGCTCACAACACAGCTGTAAGTGTGAACGTTTCATATGTGGACTTCTCATGTGTTTATCTGAACTGAAACAAGGGATCAGCTGGTTTACAGCCGGAGGTCAGAACTCAGGTTTCTGACCTCAAATCAGTTTTTACTGAAGTTTAATTCAGTTTAATTCAACTTCCGATTTCATTTATAAACCTGTCAATAGCTAGTTCACAGAAATGAGCAGTGAATGTTACGTTTTGAGTTTACAGAACTAAATATTACAGATGTAGTAACTCAGACATTTCAGATGGTGCCTGGTATGAGAAAACCATGAAAAAGAACAAACAATGGTTGAATCTGTTCACGTGTGGATCTCTGCTTGTGTTCTGAAGCCACAGAAGCGGTGAGGCGAAACGGGTTGCTGAGGTACCTGGAGATGCTGCTGTCCATAGGGTATGGAGGAGGGGGGGTACAGTGGGAGGAGGGCACCAGGGGTAGCTGTGGCTGCAGTGCGTGTGTGGGGCTCAGTGAACTCATGTCAGCGTTCATGGGGAGGTGGGAGCCCATCATGGGGGTCACTGCAGAGACAAAGGGAGCTAAAGTCAGCCTCGTCTCACTGAGGTAAGGTTTAAAGGCAGGGGCGCCACCAAGTGGGGGCCGGGGGGAGCAATGGCCACCATAAAAATATTGGTAACCCCCCCCCACTGGCCCCCTTTGGCCAAACCGTTTTATCCTATTTAGCTACTTAGAATTAACTGAAGCTTATAAACAAAAACAAAGTTTGTTTTTGAGCAATTAGGAGTTAAAAATATAAAACTATATTTGAGTTCAAATTACAAATGAAACGTACGATCTGCTCCTGGTCTATAACATCAGGATGCTCTCAGCAGATTAGAGCAGTGTTTCCCCTACCACTATAAGCAGGGCGCCCCGCCCTGTCAAAAGAACCCCCCCACACACACACCCGTAGCGCAAAGCTAGCCGCATGCAATACATACACACTAGTGCTCTGTTTTCCCCTCACGCTGAGCTGTTTCCCCCCCCCCCCCGCTCGAAAACTGTTGGTACAAAACATCACAGTTCATGCTCAGTAATCCAGGTAAATTAATCCAGGTAAATTAATCCAGGTCCTCTGGACAGTTTCTTTTTGTTGAAACGTTTCGTCCAAAAGACTTCATCAGTCTAATGTTGGTACAAACAACACAGCGCGAAACACAGACCCCCACCCCCCCACCCCCCCGGCAAAAATCAGAAGCTATGAGCGCCCTGCCAAGGCAGTTAAACTGTGGGAAACACTGTATTGGCATGTTTTTATAAATAAATATAAATTTAGAAGATGACCTTCAGTAAGCTGAGCAGTGACAGCCTGTTCTGGCCTTTGGTCTTGGTGCCACCCCCAGGATTTTCAGTGGCCCCCACATGACTGCCTCATTAAAACATTTCTAGAGGAGCATGTGTTTAAAGGTTACGTCAGCTGAACTGTGGGAGGGGGTCCTGCAGAGGTTACTTTCACCATTACACATGATGCATCGTACCAGGTCCTGCAGGACAACCTGAAGATTTGTCATACTATGTTTGGGGGGGGGGGGGGGACAAAAACATGCTGTCTTCCAGAAAATGCCTGGAAGGGATGGGGCGACGGGTGTGGGTTGGGGACGTTGGCCTGAGACGAACAGGAGGGACAACAACAGGATCACTTACTGTCGGTGAGGCCTCCAGACATGCTGGAGGGGGTGAGCGTGTTGCGCTGCTGGGGGTTCATGAGGTGGCTCACAGACGGCAGCTTGTTCACCTTTCCATGGGTGGGGGAGCTGGAGCCAAAGGAGGGCTGAGACGGCATGGAAGCTCTGAGGAGGAGAGAGGAGGTGAACGTTACTGAAGTCCTTCACTCTGTGAACAACTTGTGACATGAAGTTCAAACATTACAACAATTAACACGTTCTCCTGTTCCTGCTGTTCCTCCTGTTCCTGCTGTTCCTACTGTTCCTGTTGTTCCTGCTGTTCTTACTGTTCCTGCTGTTCCTCCTGTTCCTGCTGTTCTTACTGTTCCTGCTGTTCCTGCTCTTCCTACTGTTCCTGCTGTTCTTACTGTTCCTGCTGTTC